TGGCGACACATGAGCAAAGCAGGAAGGGCAGAAGTTGGCGGGGGGTGAGGTGGACTGGAATCGTCCAGGAGGCATTAAGGGTGGAGACAGCGGGGTGTTGCTCAGACATTGAGGAGAGGCTGTGGGGTCCTGGTCTGTGCCGAAGGGAGAACCAGCTTCTAGAAAAAGCTGGTGTGATCCACAGGTCCCGGCTGGCCACTCACCGCCGTCCCCTTGAAGGGCTCCAGCAAAGTGCTGTGTGAGGGTCCAAAAAATACTGATGCAGGCTGCTTTGTAGGGAGTGAGGGGAGTAAAAGGAGATGGAGAGTGATGGGTGTTGAAGAAGCAGAGAAGGTGATGTGGAAGAGCTACAAACCACAGGTAATGAGTTCTGGCACGTTCCAGAGAGTGAATTGTACACGAACCTGTCCCTGCAGATGCTCTGAGCGCACTAGTAAGGGTGAGTTTGGGTCAATTTAATGGACCCCAAATGGGTGTAGCCGTGAGACTGAATTGTTCTTATGTAATGTGTCCCTCAGGGAGAGTGGACAGTGATTAGGGCATTTCCGGGACATGGCTTGTCCTATCTGTATGGGGATGTGATGTGGATGCTGGATGTTGCCCTGTCAGTAGCTGGAGTGGGCCCTAAACTCGCTGAAATCACTCTCTAGCAGGATGCCCTGCAGTGAACAAAGGTGAAAAACAATGGAGGGCCCCCAGTAGAATAGGGGGACTTTGGGTACCTGATTTGTTTGTTGGAGGTAGCCAGATGGAGAACATTTCCTGTCTGAAATGTAAACACAGCACTTCGATGCCACAGTCAGAGATAAGCTAAACGTGATGGCATTGTGTGGTTTTCATGAGCAGGGAGACCTCTGCCTTATCTGTGTGTGGGAATTTCAGGTATTCAAAGCTGTAAAACCCATGCTTTACAAGCGTTTATGCAAACTTACTGTGAAGGACGTGCAACAGAATGTAGCCTTCATGAAGATGACATGACATGGTTAAAGATAAAACCTAAAGATGTGTATATACATATTTTAAAGATTTGTTTATTTATGCTATAAGAACTGGGGTATAGGCAGGAGGTGTGGGGGCTGAAAGGATTCACCAGAGACACCGTGGGGAGCAGGACAGGCAGATGGATGAAGTACACTGCTGAGGGGAGCCGTGGGCGGGTCAGGAGAGGTCTGCCACGCCATGTGGGTCAGCTCCCTGGTTGGGGGTTCGAACTCATGCTGAAGCGGCTGTGATGGCCTCATAGTGCTAGCTTCAACCCACTGCACTTTTGTGCCTTATGCACCATAATTTTCAAGAAATAGCATGTGACAGAGAAAGAAGCAGCAGGAGAAAGAGTCAAGGGCATAGCCCAGAGCCCCAGGGCTCCACACTCCTTCCCATTGTCGGCACTGTGGTGCCAGTTGTGGAAGATAATGGGGCAGAGTCCCAGCCCCAAGGATTTTCCCTCAGTGTGACGGGCGGACAGTGCACAGGTGAAGAGCCAAGGCCTGACAAGACTTGTCCACGAACTGAAGCTGATGTGATAGAGAATGGGGTGGGGCTGTCCGCCACGGAGTTCCTCTGAGGAGGAGACGTCCTAGCTTTGAATGAGGGAGAGACAGTTGTAGCCTTAGCTGGGCAGAGAGCATCCTGAGGGGAGGCCCAGCAGGGGCAGAGGGCGTCAGGGGCACAGGGCCTGCTGGGTGCAGGGAGGAGCCCAGTGTGCTGGCTCTCAGGCAGCACTCAGAGGAGTCAGGTTCTGCCGGAACAGGAGAAGGGTGGAAGCGCCGGGTGATGGCGACGCGGTCACTATTAAGCGAGGAAACACCGGTATGAGAGTTGTTTTAGGTTTTAGAGAAAATTCAGGGTGGCCTCCCTGCCAGACATTTCTCCCTACGTCAGCTCTCCCCATCCTGTCAGGGAACAAGGAGGACCTGGAAAAGGCGTGTGTCTCAGACAAATTGTCCTTTTTACTAAAAATTCACTTTCTTTGCATTTGCAATGAGGAAGGATGTACGTTTAGATGACGTCACAGAAACACATACTTGATGCCTTGGGGGTTTTGGGTGAGATTCCGGCTGACAGCTCACAGCACACAAGCCCGCCCCCCCGCCCCCCGCCTTCTCACTGGCTCTGGTCCTATCTCACAGGCAGTGCATCTAAGACAGAAGCGAACGAAAAAGTTGTTCCTGCCCCTGTGTCTGTGAATTCATGATGAAAACCTGTTTGTTTGGTGGTGACTGATGGAGTGTGCAGATGTTGAAATAGAATATTGCATAGAGACTATAATAACTTGTTCAGCCAGTACGTGCATGAACTGATGGGAAAGAGGCAGGTTTCAGAACAACCTTCTCTCCTCAGCTCAGGACAGCCCAGGTCTGTGCATAGCCAGGAAGGCCCTGAGCCCTGAGATCCGTGGCCAGACTCTGCTCCTGACCTGTCTCCTGGGGACCGCAGAGTCACCCTATCCGCTTCCTGGGTTTGTGCAGCCAACTCTGCTTGACCTCAGGACGTCTGCTAACTGGAATCCCTCTCTCCAGGACCAAAGAGCATCTATTCTGGTAAGTTTGGATGAGCAACGAATGGGTGAATAAGAAGAGGAGACACTATATTCACAGCCAGAAGGGCTTGGGTGGGTCTGTGGAAGGACAGATGCTTGTTCTGCCATAATTGTCCCTAAAGGACTTCTTCCTCAAGTTCCCTACAAGGGGGCTCCTGGCAGCTCCACGTGAGCACTGAGGCTCCATGACACGTGTGGGTGCGCGTTTACCCAGGGGGGGTCTAGAGAATCTTTGAGTCCAAGCCCCGCTTCCTGCCACAGCACAAGCTCCTCACCTCCTGACCTGCCCTTGAGTCCCTTCCTGCCACAGCCTCACCAAACCTGCCAGCCTTTTGGTTTTGATAATAGACACTGCACCGTGTGGGCAGGAGGGTGTTGGGGGCTTCAATATGCACCCCCACCCCCAGGGCTCAGGTGTCAGCCAGTGTCCACACACCTGTCGTGGGTGTTTCTGTCCTTTTGGAGACGGGTCCATGGAGCCCTTTGCCTACCGGAAAATAGAGACTTGGGCTTTTTATCTTTCCTATTGTTTCGTTCTTTCTTTATTTTGCATGCTCACTGTCCCAGTGGTGTGGTCTGCAGAGTCCTCCCGGGGCTACGGTGTCTCCCCTGCTCACGATCCCTCCGCAGTGCAGGGCTGTCTTGTGCTCTCCCCTCGCCTCCTTCCCTCTGCTGCCCTGTTTGTGAGGTCCCTCCCCGGCATCCTCCCCCAAGGTGGTTGTCATGGGGGTGTTCTGGGAAGGCTGAGGGCCCGCTCTCTTGCTCTGCCGCTTGCTCTCCTCAGTCACTGAGCCTGACGGTGTCTGAAGCAGGGGGAGAACCCCTTCTGGCTGATAGCCCAACGGTGGAGCCGATGGCGGGGAAGGGGCTCAGTCATGATGTTCTGGTGAATCCTGGGCCAGGTAACACAACACAGCGGCTTCTGGGTTTGTAAATGTGAGCCCTCATGCCCAGCGCCATGAAACCACACAATGGGCTATTTCTGCCAGAACAACACTGCATACCCCAGAAGGCCTGGACGTTGCAGCCCTGAGCACGGTGCTGACACATGTAGAGAATGCCCTCTGCTAATGGGTGCATGAAAGTTTCATTCATTCACCAAACCCCATGGTAACTGCTTTGGCTTAAGAAAGTGCATTTGTTGGGCCCTCCCTGGTGGCGCAGCGGGTTAAAGCACAGCATGAAGAAGCCAAAGCCACCTCAGCATGAGCTTGATCCTTGCCCCGGAGGTGACCACATGGCGCGGCAGACCTCTCCTGACCCGCCCGCTGCTCCCCTCAGCAGTGTACTTTGTCGATCTGCCTGTTCCGCTCCCTGCTCTGTCTCTGGTGAAGTTCTCACCGCCCCTACACCTCTGGCCTGTACCCCAGTTCTATGTGCACAAATAAATAAATCTTTTTTTAATTCAGGGGAGAGAATTCAGCTCTGCTTTGTCACTTCTGACAAATTCGCTAGGTGATCCCTTGGTCTGTTAACTCTGATCACTAAAGGTCATCTCACTAGATATGTTTTTAAATTTGATGGCATTTATTCGTTCTCTCACATCACTGTTGACCTCTTGGATGTATTTGACTTCGCCTTGAGGTGGAGCTCCCCTGCCACAGACCCCCCACCTGTCCCCTGTGCTCTCCCCTCTCTGTGCTCCCCTCCCGCCTATCCCCTGCTGTGCTGCCCATCAGGGTCGGCTTCCAAGTCGTCTTTCCCCGCCTACCTGGACTCTGTATATTCCACATGTCAGTGAAACCATCTGCGACTTACCCTTTTCCACCTGACCTATTCTTCACCTCACTGGTAGAAAAACTTTCTGTCAGTATAGTTGGGTTCCGGAGCTTGGTTCTTTCCCACTCATTGTTCCTCTGCAGGCTTCATGGCCATTTGTTTTTTCCTCCTCACCGTTGTTCGCTTTGGGTTTGCTCTGCTGCGTGGGGGATTTTGTGGTGTGTGAGTCCTTCACCCCTTTTCTTCTATTTAAATGAGTGGTGTACAGGTACTGGGTTCTTGTAGGACTGGGGTGTTGCTAGAGCCTCTCTCAAAGCACTTGCTGGCCTTGTTCTGGTGGCTGGGAGAGTGGGAGGATGCTGGGTCAAGACACAGTGTTGCTGGGGCCTCGCCTCCCCCAGGAGTTTCTGTTTCTGGTGGCCCAGGGAGAAGAGGGGGTGCTGAAGGTCCCTCACCTAGGAGGTTGTGTCACTGGGCTAATCACTGAGTGGATGTACTTCCTGGTGCAGTTGGGGGCCTCACGGTGACTCCCAGATATTGTTCTAAGGAGACTTAGGGCCCTTTCCAGCTACAAGCATACTTTGCATAGGTGGATCCTTGATTGTGAGGATACACAAAGGCCTAAATCTCTCTCTAGTATTTTGCAATCACTGTAACTCTTCAATGACACAAACATGGCTACTTAATCTCATCTATACGCCCCCAGTGATTTCTGTAACCCCTTCCTATCTTCTCCTAGAACATGCCCATTTTTGAGAGTTTTAGCAAGGTTATGGCAGAAGAAGTTGGAGGCAAAGAAATGAAGCCTGTCAAATGTGTGGATCACGCCTCCAGTGTGAAACTGTGCTCCTTACTACGGGAGAAAAAGAGTTTCACAAAGTTTTGGAGCCAAGACGAAGAGCCAGTTGAGATCTCCCTCCTGGATATTCTGGAACCAAATTCTTCACTCCCAGGTATTGCCAGTTATGGGCATGCAGACAAGGGAGAAAACCAGCATTGTGGCCAGCTTCCAAGCAACGGAGGCTCCCTCAAGTACAGATGTGGGTCAGCATTGCCCAAAGCCAAAAGTCTTGGGGTCATGACTCTTTGAGAGGTTACTAGTGATGAAGTCAGGCTTATGAGAGTTCACTTAGTAATCACTGCAGCCTGTATGGCGAGGAATATTATTCCCATTTAACATAACAGCTCACGAAACCTCATAACATAATTTGATCGAGCTACTTACCTGGGAGTTGGTAGAAGCGGCCTCCATGCCCAAGACATGCTGTTCAAATCCCAAGCCCTGTACATGCCGCCTCCTGGAGTTGATGCTGCAGCTGCTGCAGAGGAGACCCTGGCCCTGGGGAGGAAGGCAGGGGTTAGGAGGGGGTAAGTGGGGGGTGATGCTATATGACTCCGGGCCAGTGCTGGTCACATCCCCAGGAACTTAGATGATGTCGTTCTTGCAGTTACCGGACGCTGGGTGAGTCAGCTCTTCCTCTCAGCAGCAATTCACTCTTAAATATTAATTAAATGTTACTATATGAAAACATTGAATCAGTAGAAGTTTTGGGCAAAATATGATTCAGTCACTTTATTTCCATTCAGTTTGCAGATTGTTCTAGAGTTAATTCTTTTTTAAATATTTTATTTATTTATGTAGACAGAACTGGGGTACAGGCCAGAGGTATGGGGTGTGAGAGGATTCACCAGAGACAGAGTAGGGAGTAGAATAGGCAGATGGACTGAAGTACACTGCTGAGGGGAGCAGCGGGTGGGTCAGGAGAGGTCTGCTGCACCCTGTGGGTCACTTCCGGCCTGGGGATCGAACTCGTGCTGCAGTAGCTGGGTCTTCACCTCTTGTGCCACCAGGGAGGGCCCGAGTTAATTCTTGACCTGATCGAAGACCACCATTTCTCTGTAGACTGTGATGAGGGAAAACCATTGACCTTCAGTGACACTGTGCTGAAGAAACTGAAGATTGCTGTGAGTGTGGACGCTGTAGCAGGGGCGAATGCTTCGGTGGCAGCGTCTCAGTCCCATAAGTCCACCCTCCAGTATAGGATTGTTACCCTCCTACCGGCTAAATTCGAAGAACTCCGAAAGAGGTGAGTCCGAAGGAGAAAAGAGGATTCCTCAATAGAGCCCTAGAATGTTCTCACCTGGTGGGCAAAGAGGCATCTAGAGTTGCTATTGAGATGCAGAATGAAGAAAATGACATCCATGCTGCCTTTCTCTTCATTCATTCATTCATTCAACTAACAGTAAATAGTTATCCCGTGTATATTTAATGAAACAGTAATTACCTATTAGTGTGCATTTTTTGTGTGTGGTGAGAATACAGTGATGAAAAGACAGATAAAAATCTGTATCCTAAAGTATGTTACATTTGGCAAGATAGGAAACTTTACAGTGAGCATTAAAAATTAAATTATCAGAGTAGGGCAAAGCCTTTGAAATTCTTTGTTTAAATGAAGCGTACAACAGTGTGCAGACACTAAATTGAACTCTGTGAATGTGATCGCAGATCTCTAAAAATCTGCCCTGGCTTTAACAAGGGACTTCTTAAATCTTTGTACCTTTTAGAAATAAAGATACCAATTTTCATAACATTTCTGTGAAAGAACTATTAAAGGAAAGATAAAATTAAAGTCTGACTTTCAAAGCCACACATGATAGAGTAGCTCTCTCCTGGCAAGCCTTGTCTTCATGGAACGAGAAAAACAAGTCACCCAAATGTGTGTCTCACCAACACTCTCCAGCATTCCTGATGACCCAGGCATCTCTCTCCCTGAGGGGAGTCTTGGCTATTCACTGAGATTTTGGGGCATTAAGAGGTGAGGGGGGCCTTGGTTGTGATATGGGCCATTCCTGGAAGATGAACAAGCTTGGGAAGTTTGTGGGCTTTGGTTCACCCAGACTGGCACAGAGAACCTCCCCTGTTAGTGTGAAATAATGTTGCTTCGTGATTGAGCCCTGATGAGCCCGATAGCATGGTTGTGGTTCTAGCATGAGAAGTGGCAGAGTTCACCTGAGGCTGGAGAGAAATCTGTGTAGCCCCTCAACCCTGAACAAGGATCTGAGAATCAGGCTTTGGGTTAGTCGTGGAGCTTGTTTAATGACAGCGAGAGGGTCAGTGGTAATGATTCCCAGCTTAGTTTCATCCTTCTCCATCCAAAAGGTGATCATTAACTAGAAGAATCTGGGCTCCTACATCCCCACAAATTACCCTTCCATCATCTTGAGAACAAGGAGCCCAAAACTTAAGCTATTTTGCCATCTTCTGGGGGAAATATAGAACAACACCCATGGCAGAAAGGGGTAACTCATGGAGAACACTTGGGCCTGTGTTGCTTTATACTTATGGCTTTTGCTCTGTCACCTACATTCTGGAAGTTTGTGTTCTCATTGTCATTTGTTTCAAGGTATTTTTTATTTCTTCTTTGATTTCCTGTGAGCCCATTTGTGGTAGGGAGCTTCAACACCCCTCTCTCAGCAATAGATAGGTCAAATGGAGAAACAATAAACAGGGACACAATGGCCTTAAACAAAGAAGCAACTGTGAAACAAGCCCCTGAAGCCAATGTAACACTGACTGGAAACAAGAAACATGGCGATATCGATTCCCGACTTCAAATGGACACAAGAAAGAGGAATGAAAGCAGTACAGAACAAACAGAAATACAGACCAAAGGCGTACAGTAGAGAACTGAGGAATAAAACCACAGAAATGAGGAATAAAACCGTTAATTTCTGGTAAAGGAGCAAAGACCACCCAGAAGAGAGAAAGGAAAATCCAACCTGTCATGTTGGAAAACCTGGACAACCACATGCAGAGGAATTAAAGTAATCATTAATTGACATCAAGCACAAAAATCAACTCAATATGGACTCAAGTCTTGGGCTAGACCATAAAATGCATAGAACCTGGCAACTCCTAACATGAATATCAGAGATGTTTTGGGTACTCAATTTCTGGCAAAGGAATCAAAAGCAAATATGATATGGAAGTACATCAAACTGGAAAGCCAACTTGAAAGCAAAATTTTTGACTATAAGAAGATATTTGCATATCATCCATCTGACAAGGGGTTGATTTCTAAAATATATAAGGAACACCTCAACTCAACAACAAAAAACCCACAACCCTATCAAAAAATGGCAAAAGACCTTAACAAGTGCTTCCCTAAAGAGGGATATGCATACATGTTGGGCCACAGAGAGCTGACCCAGAAGCATGAAAAGAATGGCCAGCGTCCCTTATAACATAAATGCAAATCGTAAGATGACAACTGAGATGGAAAAATGTACAAAATGATGTAAAAAGAAACCATTAAAAAAATTTTAAGACAATTTCCTATACCAGCAGTAATGGCCTTGATTTAAAAAGACTGGAAATGGAAACAACAAATGTTGGTGCAGATATCAAGAAAAAGGAGCACTCATCCGCTTTTGGTGGGAGTGTACATGGGTGCTACCTCTATAGAAAGCAGTCTGGAGATTGATTCAAGAACTAAAAGTTGAAGTTCCATCAAAACAAGAAATACTACTCTTGGTATTTAACCAAAGCATGTGGAAACAACAATATGAAATCACGTATGCATCCCTCTGTTCATAGCACTATTATCTGCAAGAGCAGAGATATGAAATCGACCTAGAAGCCCACTGACAGATAACTGGATAATGAAAGTGTGGCATATCTATGTAACGGAATACTACACAGGCATGAAAAAGCATGAACTTTTTTCTTTTGGGACAGGTTACATCTTGGCATGATTATGCTAAATGTAATAAACAAGAAAGTCAAAGGCAATTACCTAAGAGTCTCACTTCTTGGTGGAATATCAATACCCAAACAAACTGGTAAAAATAGCTCTTAGACTCTGAAAAATATAGTGGTGATCAGGGATGTATTGAGGGGGGGAGGAGATGATGTGGGCAGGTAAGATGATAGTGTGTTGGCCTGGAGCCTTGGGAGAGGGTAAGTGAAACACGTACACATGTCAATGAAGTTATATTCCCCACACTACATAGTTGAACAAGGTCATTTGATGGGAAATAAAATCATTTGATGGGAAATAAAATCAGATTTTTCAGAGATAAATGTTACTTGTGTATTAGACCGTTAGTGTGTTTCTTGTTTGTCTCTTACTGTTAGAACTAACATTTACAAAGACTGTTGATAGAGCTCAGCCGTTAAGCAGTATCTGAATTACTGATGTTGCAGACAAAGAAAAACAATTGTCCTAGAAATTTCTCTCAGTATTTAAAAAGGTATAAACTCAAGGATGCATCTTATTATCTAGCACCAAGAGATTTTAGACAAGTCAAACTGTAAGTGAGGAAAGGAAAGCCATGTGGTAACTTCTACCAGATGGCAGGCTGGGCATGCAGTAATTTTCACCTGGAGTTGTTTATGGTAATGGAGGGCGCTCTGAAGGTCATTGCAGAAACTGGTGCATGGCTGCTGGAAGAGCATCTGTTTAGGTCTCTCTGTGGATCTAGCAGTTGAGCTCAGAGCTGAAGAAAGAGGCAAGCAAGAGCAGAGGGAAGTGGTCCAGGTCAAGGAAGGACCTACTGCAGGACACAGGTGGGAGACCTCAGGAATTGTGGGGAGCCAGGGAGTGAGTGACAGCCTGGTGAACCTGGAAGCAGGTGAAGTAAATAATTCTTGGAGACCTAGAAACACTCTAAGGGGCTTGAATGTCCTTGAAACGACCGCAGGAGACCCGAGCTGGGGACGCAGAGTGACCTCCTCTACTGAAAGCAAATGAAAAGCTTTGAGGTTTTACACAGCTGTTATCTGGGCACCTGTCTAAGCGAGGCCTTGGGTAGAATCAGGGTGATTCTCATATCAGAGCGGAAATGAAATCTGCTTCCAGGCTTCAGACCTCTCGCTCCCACCTTCCTCCAAACCTCTGTCCAAGCCAGTGGAGTCACCCCTGCAAGGACATGGAGTCCACAGCACGCTCCTGTGCCAGCATGGACACCACCAGCAGCCCCCTGCTCCTGTGCTTGCTGAGCGGCTCCACGGTCTACCTGCGGGTGCTGACGGGGCCCAGCGTGGGCGTCTCCTCTCCTGAGGGCTGATCTCAACCCCAGGGCAGCCTCTGTGCAGCCTCTCTGGTGAGCCCCATGCTGGGGTGTGTAGCCTGCCCCCACCCTACCCCCAGTTATGGAGCACACAGCTGTGTCTGCTAGGCCAGAGGCCCTGTTTCCTTACCGTGTCAGCGAGCAGGAGCCTCTGTGCCTGTCTGGGCTGTTCTGGGTCCCAGGGAAGCTCAGGGCTGTAAGCCTAAGTTTTCCTGCCCATTGTGGGCTCGGCTGTGACAGAGTAAAGTCTACACGTCTCCCGGGTCTTGAAGAGACGATGAGCCCAGAGTCATCTGAGAAGGCACTGCTCTCTCTCTGACCCTTCCTGTCGTACCTTATGTCTCAGGAAACTGCTGGACCCAGAACCATCATATCTGCAGCAATACCGGAGATCACAGAAGAACCTCTACGTGGTGACGAAGGTGGTGGAGCTGCTCAACAGTCCTGTGCTGACTGACACCCGCAGTGGGGGCGTTTCTGGCGGCCTCTCCCTCCCCTGGAATCCTGCCGCCAAGGTATGTTGTGGGCACACCACGATCCCAGCCCGCCCAGTCTCACTCTCTGGGGGCCAAGCCCCTCAGTACCTGCTCTGGATATGAGAGGGTGCTGGGCTGTTATATCCCACCAGTCATGTGTGGGGACCTGACTCCTGGCCGGGGACGGCATTCTGACGTCCTCAGGCTTGCTGGTTCACCGTGTGTGACTCTTCAGGCATGGCTAATCAGAGGAAGATCGAAGTATGCTCCGCTACATTTTACTTTTGGGGAGTGTTGGATTGTGGTGAGTCTAATGCTATGATTGCTCGGCCATCTCCATGAAGCAACGAGGGACCATTCTCCAGACTGTAGTGGCTAAAATTCCCATCTACTGAGACGCCCTGACTGAAAAGGCTTAAAATATGTGATTTAAGAACCTTCAAACACATGGTTTACATAAGTGATTCACAATAACCAACTATAATATTTGAAATAATTCAAGAAAACTCAATATCTTGTGTGTTAGCATGTACTTTTACCCAATATATAATTTTTTAAATAATTTGTCCTCACATAACAGATTTAGAGGGTAAAGGAGACAAAAAATAACCAAAGCTATGAACTGGCTTCCCAAGTCTGTGATTTCACCCTGGACCAAGCGTCACCATATCATGAAAAAAAAAAAGTATTGATTTTTACCATTATTTTCAAATCATCTAAACGTCAGCAGGGCAGCTGCATATTTCCATATGCGTGTGGCCCAGCACCCACCGCCAAGGCCTCCTGACGCCCACTGTCCCACTGTCCCCTCACCTTCTCCTTCTTCCTCCTGGCCCTCTCCCCGTTCTCCATAGCCACCATCTTTCTTAAACATTTATTATATTACTTAGTTTTTAAAAAGATTTATTTATTTCTGCATATAGAACTGGGGTACAGGCCAGAGGTTCAGGAGTGGTGAGAGGCTTCACCAGAGACAGAGTGGGGAGCAGAACTGGCAGAATGATGAGGTACACTGCTGAGGATAATGGCAGACGGGACAGGAGGGGTCTGCCGCGTCATGTGGGTCGCCTCCGGGGCCAGGGGTCGAAATGGCACCCAAGTGACTGCAGCCAGCTTGCAGTGCTGCGCTTTGACCCATTGTGCCAGGGAGGGCCCTTTATTACTTAATTTTTTACTTTCTTGTATCATGGGTTATCTGCTCCCGTTACTGCTCCCGTTAGATGCAGCCCCTGACCCGTATCCTGCCCCACAATCACCACCCTGCCCCCCCTCCATCTTGGAAGTTCGCTGCTTCGGTATGATATTCCTAGTCTATGGTTTTTTTTTTGCTTTTATTTTGTTTGGAATTCTCTGAGTTTCCTGGACCTGTGGCTTGGTGGTTTTTTATTCATTTGGGGAAGATTCTCAGTCATTATTGCTTCTAATATTTCTTTCCCCCTTGTTCTCTTGTATTCCAATTGCATGTATGCCTTTTTATCTCACATTTCTTGGATATTCTGTTCAATTTACTCAGTCTTTTTCTCCTTGTGTTTCAATTTAGTGGTTTCTTTTGAGATGGCCTCAAGTGCAGAGGTGTGTCCATCTCCTATGTGCCAGTCAAAGGCACTCTTTATTTCTGAAGTTATTTTATTATTTGTGCATACAGAACTGGGGTACAGGTCAGAGGTGCACAAGCAGTGACAGAATTCACCAGAGACAGAATGGGGAGCAGGACAGGCAGTTAATGAGGTATTGCTGAAGGGAGTGGGCGGGTCAGGAGAGGTCTGCCGCGCCACATGGGTCACCTCTGGGGCAGGGATCAAGCTCACACTCAAGCAGCTGCAGCCGGCTTGCAGTGCTGCGTCCTAACCGGTTGCACCACCAGGGCGGGTCTCTGAAGTGCTTTTGATCTGGCTAACATTTCTTTTTGCTTCTTTCTCAGAATTTCCACCTCTCTGCTGCCATTACCCATCTGTTCTTGCACTCTTTCTTAGTATTCTTCAAGATGTCTTAGCATATTAATCATAGTTACTTAAAGTTCCCTGTCTAAGAATTCCCAAATCCATACTATATCTGAGTATGAAACTCAGAGGTGCTTGGTCTCTTGAACAGCTGCCTTTTCCTTGAGTAAGCCTTGCAATATTTTGTGGAATGTAAGCTGCAATATACTTGGTAAAAGCAACGCTGATAAGCCTCCCTTTGGTGAGGTGGGGGTGAGGTGGTAAGGGTGGAGCTTTTTCTTCAGTCTCCTGACTAGGTTTCGGTGTTTCAGCCACATGTTCCTCTGAGACTTGAATTTTACAAGAGCAGTCTCATGCTCCTCCATCTTAGGTGTGACAGGATGAGTTGGTTATTTTATTTGCACCACATGGAGCACTAGAAGAGGCTGGATCTGGGTATTTCCCAGTCATCATTTGTTTTGGCTTTTATAAAACTCCAAAAAGCTAGATTCTGGCAAAGGAATGTCTCTTGAGCCAGGTCTTATTATGAAGAACACACTGTTCTAGATTATTATAACATGGTGACAAATTTCCTCCTGCTGCCTGAACATGAAGGCGTTTTCTCTGTATTCACTGTGAGACCCTAGTCTAACTCTTGTAGATGAAACTCACAAAATGGAGAGACGCTCAGTGACTGAGTTCCCCCGAAGTTTCTAAGTTCCAGACGTGTCCACATTGAGTCTGCAGCAATCTCTAGCCGTTTAGGCTTTGGTACCCTGATCCGAGTTAATGTGGAGGTTTTTGCTCAGGTAAATCGTGATTCTCTGTATCTATCATTCAGTCTCTCCAATTTTGGGAACACAGGGCTTCTCTGTGATGTAACCTACCCTCCTGACTAAACCATTGGTGATTTTCTTTCTTCAGGTCTTTGCTTGTTTTTAGAGTGGGTGATAAACCCTCATCCGCCTTTTCAGGTCTATTTGCCTTTTGCAACGACCTGTATATGTGACCACGTTCCTGGGCTTCTGTTCCTAGGTTAAGGGGGAAGGAGATGGCCAGTCATCGAGAGAAACAGCGCTGACTCTGGAGAAGGGCATGGTGATGGCCTACAAGAAGAAGCTGCTGGTTTTTGAGAATGATGGTTGGAGTAAGTAGTTGAAAGAGGCATGTGGGGTGGTGGTGGGGCTTTGGGCTTTTCTTGAAAGGAGAAACAGGAGGGTAAGGCCATCAGCATAGACCTTGACACTCCACCTGTCTGACACCCCTGACCATGTCCCAACACCAGACGGCCCGAGGACGGTGCTACCTGGAGAGAGTCTTCTTCGTGAAACGGGACAATAAGGTGCCCAGCATGGGGTGTCACTAGCATGGGTACAGGGCACCCTCGTGCAGGCCATCTGTGCTCCATCAGGGAGCTGCCTCTCTCCGCAGCTCACCAGGAAGCCACAGAGCCCTTCCTGGGAGACCCACAAGCCCAGGTTCAGGCCTGGAAGACACCAGCACAGTCACCGACACTGCGGACATGGCACCCTAACCACGTAGGC